ACAAAATTAAGACTCCAGCCTCAGCTTTGTTACTCAAAACTTTCCCCTCTAATAAAACCACAAGAATGATAATAGTATTTTGTTGCTGCTGCTGGAAAAGAAAAAAAGTACATGAAACTGCTTTTAAGACAGGAAGCATGTTTCATAACCCATTTTTCAGCTGACTGTAAAGAGAAATGAGAAAGATTTAGCAAAAAAATAAATCACTAATACATTAAAGAGCCTTTGCTCAGTGACATCCCAAAATGAATACAAGTGTGAATTCTATCACCTTTTGCAAAAGAAAACATTAACATTATATTCTCATCAGGCTATTTCCCCTACCACGTGCTTGGTTATGTGCAAATATTTTATAGATTAGTGATGTTACCATCTCTCTCAACATTTCCAATCCACTAATGGGAGAATACAAGAGAATAGCCCAAGAAGTCCACTAACCACTCTGATTAGTTTATGAATAGAAATGTAAGAGAAGGTAGTTATTACAAAGATATAGGAGTTTAATAACAGCATTCTGCTAAAGAGCGCACCTTTAGCACTGAAAAAGGCAATCATATTATTTAGTGATGTTTAACAAGGTGCCTAGTGCCTCATTTTTCATTCAAATAAGTTAGAATTTTCAGTTTCTGTGTAACAATCCCAACAGAAGCTGTTCAGCAAGCTTACATGTGTCTTAAATGGGGCTAGAAACACACACAGCTAAAGCATACCATTTCTTACAATGAAGTTGTATGTACGTTTTACTGGCACTTACACTAATAATCCACATGGGGAGAGAAAAAAGTTCAGAAAAAAGTCTTCCCATAAATTTATTGCGACTTACTCTAATTTAGTCTTACTCTTATTCTGAGTTTTAGGATTTTAGGTTACTGGACCACACCTATGAAGGACAAATTAGAAAAGAAAAAAAAAAGAAATAGAATTTGTCTTCCCATTTGTGGGTAAACACAAAAATGGCTTTGTAGGCTACCCCAGAAATGCTATAACCACAACAACTGACAGATACTGGTCAATATTGTGGTTCCCTCTGGTTACCACATGACAAGAAACATCATCCTTTTTAGAAAGTTGGCAACACAATACACCACAGAGCAGAGCAAGGAGGAACTACACAGAAAAAAGGAGAACATATCTGCCACCATAAATGACAATATTCAGCAGCATTAGAACTATCCAAGAGACTTTAATTGTCTAACACAAAAGGAGCATTACATCAGACACAGACATGGCCAATATCAGGAGACAGAGACACAGAATTTGTTCATCTATTTATTGGTTCACAAATCTGTGATACTCCCTCCCTCTTGAAAAGCAAACATTCTCTTCAGAAAAAAACAGCTAACTCTCCCCTACAACAAAAACTTATTATCATGTACAGCTTTGAGATGTGTTTATCCAAAAAAACATCCCTGCACACCTGCACCCAAGCAGAAGCCTGGAAAAACCTGAGTATCAAACCAGCAGTGTTACAACTGGCAGTGAGAACGCTGCTATTAGAATGCGACTTCAAAGCAAGGAGAGTGGGGTGAGTGAAACAATTTGTAGAATCAGCAATATAAAGACAGATGGGAGATGAGAAGCAGTAAAACGTAGACTGAACTCTGAGTTTTCTGCTGCTGGGAGATCAGAAATTTTCTACCGGGCACAGAATATAGCAGCTGACTTAAAAAATCTAGTCACAGGGGAATAGTAGACATACTGGCAAGTACTTTTTAATGACACTTCCAAAATAAATCTAACTACATATTGCTTTAATTACATTTTTAAGATTAATTTAATTTATGTAATTGCTTTATGAGCTCTACCAATAGAAGCAGCTTAAAAAGCTAAGCAAAAAAAAAAAAAAAAGAAGAAAAAAGGCACTCCCAACAAGGATTCCCTCTCAGAGGGCTGACAGCAGCTCCTAAGAATTAAAAGGATGCCAAGGGGACTGCCCACATCCTAAAAAAAAAGTTGGAAAAAATAAGTCACTTGATATTCTAGAAAGGCGAAGGAGGCAGAATAAGCTCTGCTATTTTAAAGTATGGATTTTGTCTTCTCTGGATGTATCTAATCAACGTCTTTTCCAAGTGCCAGGTGAGGTGGCACGAGCAATCTTAAAGCTAGTGATTAATACTGATTTAAGTTCATTTGTGCAATGTCTCACTGATTACAACAGTCTGTCTTACATGGAAGGGGTACAAAACAACATTTGGAAAGGAATGAGGAGGAAGAGGAGTTCATGTATACTAACGGCCAGCAAGCTGCATCCAACTTTCCTTCACGAAACCCACTCCCCACGCCATGTGAGAACGTAGCACAGAGAAAGCACAGCTCACACATCCGCCTCCTGTGCCGCAGTGACAGGTGACACAAGCAAAGGCTGCACAGACATCATGGGCAGCTCCACACCGAAGAAACCCAGGCCCCTGAACCAGTGCAGGAGAGGAACAACAGGGATTCTGCATGGCTGTCCACTAGAAGGAAAGGAAGCCAGATGCAGAACTAGAGCCTTTGCTTACTAAAAGGGTATCATCAAGAGAAGGCACTTAACAGCCTGTTGAGCAATCACAGCTGCAGTTTCAGTACCAAGAGCCACAGCCAACCATGAAGCCTGTAGCAGACTGGCGAGAAGCTGGGAGAACCACAAGCTAAGTGTGCATCACATCACTCAACTAAATCCAGACTGAGTGGAAAGGTAGGCATGACAACTATTTACAAACAACTGACGGGCATTCATACCAGCAGCAGCAAGGGAATTATATTCAGGGCAAGGGAGACCACAGCATGTACCCACCCCATGTGTGCACGGCTCTCCCCAAGTTCACCTTTTTGCTACCCAATTTATCTACTTCCTGCTCCTACAGCAAACAAGCTTTCTTCAAACCTGAACTATGGCAGAGCTACCCAATGAGAGGTATAGAGAGGATGGTTTAGAGAGAGGAATGAAATCATGAATCAGGAAGAAAGAACAGAAGGAAAAGTTTTCAGACAGGTTTTTTTTTTCAGCTTTGGGAATCACTTCCCAAAGGAAGTGGTGTAAGGCTAACCACTTGAGTCATTTAAAACACTAAAATTCTGCACTCCCATCAAGAATTCAGGCATATTCTTAGAGAAACGAGTATGCCTCCAAATCAGTTCTTCACAAGGGCGGGCATTACTGGGGACATGGCACAGATCAGATGCCTGAACACAGAGAGCAGAATGAGCTCCCTGGCTGCACCCACAAAGAACACCGGTTTCAACTGCTGATGTTTCATGTTGAAATAAATATGGTTCATACAGCACTCACCAGCTCCAACTTTGATTAAGGTACGATTATGCATACCTGTCAGCTTTTCACCTTTCAGCTGAAACACCTTTGAAAAGGACAAAAGTTGAAGGTGTTCACATCTTAAACTTGTCTTGTCTTGCCAACCTATTGCCAATGGCTCACTGTTTTTGCAACCCTTATAAATAGAGCCTTAGGCAAGCTTGCAAAATGCTACTTAATCATTTCCCAGAGGCAAGTAATATTTTGTGACGGGAGAATGAATCATCTGTTTTGTCACTGGGATGGACGTGGACAATGAATGTCTTTGCTACTCTTAGTCTTGTTTATTTTAGTCTAATTTACATCTTTCTAGTATTATAATACTACTTTGAAAACTCCCATGCAAACAACCAAGAGCAACAAAACCCCCTACCAAGCTGCCTCATTTCTCAAAACTAATTTTTATCATGCTACCACCATCACCCACCCAATAATATGTGTGCTAGAAGTACAACCTATTTAAATCTGTTTCTACATACATAAAGTCCTGCTTCATGCCAACACTTTAGCATTAGCCGTGAGTGGTTCCACTAATCTAAATGGAGACAATCCTTAGTCCTAAAGGTTTGTGTATCTTGGCATGAACAGGACTGTAGCAGCAATGGCAAATCTACCAGAAAAATCAACATTTTCACCCAACAGCTATGTGCACATGTGCTGGCAGGAATGGACCGTTGTATTCTATCAAGGACAAATGAAGAAGCAAACATGAACGCTGATCAACTTTTTTTCATATACAGTCACAAAGACTACCTAATGAGTTTAACAGGCAGTCAGATACTTACTCCATAACATAAAGACATCTAACACGGGCCTAAACACTGAGTCAGAATGAATTTCCCATCGCTTCATGTTTCCTTCCAACCACCACTAAACGAAGGCAGTAACAGGAGACAAAGCACTGCACTACTGCTCTAAGAGTTTTAAGAAATCCCCATATGGGACATGGCATAGAGGCCTCACATTCCCACTTCCATCCCGACACAAGTTCATAGCAAGCTATAGAGGCTCAGAGCCAGTTTGGACGGATCGAGCAGCCAAACGCTGCACTGCGACCATCCCATCATTCAAACCGCACATACCCTGCTCTCAGGGCTTGCTTCCTGCAGATACGTGCAGGTCAAAACCCTGGGTGCTCCAGTTCCTGCACTGCCTCACTCCTTTCGTTCCCATTCCCGTAACTCCAGAGCCCGCTTCCCGCGGAAGGCACCTTCCCCCTCCGGGCGCCCGCCCTCGCCCGAAACTTTCCCAGCCGAGTGCTGCCCCTTCCCCGGGCACCACGGGCGGGAGGCGGCGGCCGGCACAGGGCACGGCCGCGGCACGGGCTCCGTCCCTCTCGGAGAGGAGAGGTCGGGGCGCTGCCGGGGTAGGGCCGGCCCCGAGCGGACAAAGGCCCGGCCGGCCCCGGCGGCACGGGAGGCCCGAGGCCGCCGTCCCGCCGCCACAGGAAGCCGCAGGCTGGGCCCGGCACCTTCCCGCCCACAGCGCCGGGCGGGCACGGCGGGAGGCGGCGTCCCCTCCTCCGCCCGGGACCGGCGCCGAGGGACCCGCACACGGGGCGGCGGCGGCGGCTCCGGGCGCGGGAAGCGGCGCTCGCAGTCCCGCACCGCCCTCCGGAGCCCGCCCGAGGCGCTGAGCCCCGGGGCAGCCACAGGCACCGCTCATCTCGATCCCGACCGGCTGCGACCCCCGCCCGTCCTCCCGTTACCTCGGCCATGGCTCCGGGCAGCGGGCGCGCTCCGGCCCGCCCGGCTCACTGCGGCTCCCTCTGCCCCGGCGTCCTGGGCTGGGCAGGGCTGGGCGCGGCGGGACGCCCGGGCTCGCTCCTCGCTGGCTGCCCGCCGCCGCCTGCTCCGAGCTGCTGCGGGAGCCCGGCCCGCGGGGGAGGGGAGGGGAGGTCCGCACTCCGCTTTACCCGCCCCGGAAACACATTCCTCCCCGCTGCCGTCAAGCGGGCCGGGGAGGTGTCTGTGGAGCGGCGGGCAGGGACGGGAGAGCCGTGCTTTAGGCGGGGCTGAGTGTCCGCTTCCCTCCGTGCCGCCTGCCAACGCCTTATTTGGCGGGGTTTGGCGGCGGAGTGGCCGCCGGGCCCCAGAGCGGCAGCCCCCGGGCTGGGCCGGAGCGTGGGGAGACGGGGCTGGGGCTGGGGCTGGGGCTGCCCTGTGGCCTCCTCGCTCCTGCCCGTTTCCAAAGGCGGGATGCGACCCCAGCCCTTTTCCACAGCTCTTCTGTTCCCCTCGCTGCCTGGTTCCACGCGCGGAGGCAGCGGGGATCTGGGCAAAGGGGGATCTCCCGTCCCTCTGGCTGGCAGCTGTTTCCAAAAGTGGTGGAAGTCACTAAGTGACTGATGGATGTGGAAGTCACTAAACGATGAGTGGGCTTGTCTGGTGCTAACACGCTCTCCGACTTGGCTTTCCCCACGTCCCTCGGCCGGAGCCTGCTGGTGCTCGGAGCATGCATGCCCTTGGTATTTTAAAGTGCCTCTTAAAGTAGGTTCTTGGGAAATAACCGATTAAAAAAATTAAAAACAGTGCAATTCGGCACCTCTTTGAAAGTAAGGTGTTGGGAAACACAAGCTATGAACTCACAGCTCAGAGCTCTAAGTAAGCACTATGCCCTTTATGTGTGGCTACTGGAGTTTGTGTCAGTTCTTGGTTTTGTATGGTTAATTTAACCAGCAGTGCCGCAACTTGTTTATAATTTTATTCACTTTTCCCCGTACTTTGCTTTCTAGCTGCGTTTTGACATAAGAAAGGAATGATGTTTCTACTTTACTCAAGTGTGGCCTGTGATTCAACCCCGTGTTCCACTTGGGCCAGTGCAGTGGTTTAAGGCACAGTCTCGTAACAGCTGTTTTAGCAGAAGATTTTAATGCTGGTACAGCTGTAATTGCAAAACTGTTTTAGTGGAGCTGGAAAATGAGATCGAAATGGCAGACTGCTGCTCCAAGCAGCTCCGTCAAAAGGAAGTACTGGACAAATGAAATGGTAGATAAGTAACTTTGACATTCAGCGATAAGGACAGCAAGGACTATATGTTTCAACAGGTAAATCAATATATAGTGTTAATACTGTCAGGAAAGAAGAAAGCCACCAGAAAGCCAAAGTTTTAAAAATGGTAAAAATTATTGCCATGCAAAGTAAAAGCAAATGCCAGAGGGATAGTGATCTGCCAAAGTATTGGAAGATAAAAATTACTTTTATCCAAGAAATTCTCTGCTTCTTTATTGCAGGGCGAAAAAAAGCACATCTGGTGCTAATTACGACAAGGTTGTGGATTTTGATCCTTGTATGGGCCATTCACTTAAAAGACGGACTTGATGATTCTTGCAGATTTCTTCTACCTCAGAATATTCTGTGATTTTGCCAGAATATGCAAATAGTAAGCAGCCTTCCACAATAGTGTACTGCAAAGAAGTGGTGGCAAAAATGTGCTACTGAGATCAGTGGGGCTCTGAGGAGTAAATAAAACTGCTTAACAGACTGGTTCAAGTGCTACCCAATGCTCTGCTCGGATCTTATTGTGTCAAGTAGCCAGTGGCTGGCTGTGCTGAGCAATAGGAAATTGACAGGAAAAAGTCTCACAAATGGCTGAAAAAAAAACCCCACTGAATTATTTGGCTGCTTTCTGGACTCCTTTCGAGAGCACAGATGGGCATGAAAATCATTTGTTATTTTCCAACACTTCTGAAGTACTAAAGATGTCAGAAAAAAAAAAGTGCTGGAGGTATTTGAGCCAGTAGACGCAACTGTAGATGATGTCAAAATGTTTAATGTAGTGACTCCATACTGCAGTGCACATGACATCTGGGAGAGTGAGTGAACAGTTTTGCATGGGAGAGCTCAAGAAAAGATGGGTTTTCATGGATTGAGTCGAAAGCTGGGAAGTGTTTGCTTCACTGTTAACTTTATCTTGCAGATACATATTTTATTATAACTTTTACACAAACACAAATCCCGACCCAGGTTTTGGTTTGTCCCATGTTGCCTTTGTAAAGAAGCCAGCTCTGTAAATCAGGGGTGCCCAGCTGCAGCTCCCAGTGCCTGGGGCCGAGTATCCCTGTGCCAGGCAGCTCTACTGCAATCCCTCCCAGTGCCTGGCTGGGAACCTCTGGGGTCAGGGTTCACTTCACTTGGGTGCCTCCAGAGAGGCAGGAATTGGTTGGTAGGAGAAGCTGCAGCAGCTCCTAACCAGTTCCCGGGGTATTTCCTTGGCTGCAGTTTCCCGTTTGCCACATGTTGCTGCCAAGCTGCTGAACTCTGACTTACTAAAGCCCGCACAGCCAGGGAGCTGTCACCCTGTTCTCCAGCATCTGCTCCACTCCTACAGCTTGCAAAAGGTTTAGAGGGAGATATTTTTCAATTAGGGCCTCAGTGATAACAAACACAGGAGTGCCATGGTTTGCGCATTAATACCCAAATGCAAATGCCTCCCATCATGGCACCCATTAGGCAACTTCACACTCTCACCAGCCACTAACATTTCCACCTTTACTTCTTCATACTGTACTAGATATCTCACTCACCTATGCCCCAGGGAGTGATAATTTATCTGTACTGCTCTACTTTCCCAACAATCTTTGTTACTGACAGCAGAATACTTTCCCCTTCCACCCCTCTTCTTTTCCTTCCCTGCCTCTTCAAAGTGCTCCTACCATACTTAAGGTTTTTTTTTCTTTCCAAACTAAAGAAAGCCAAATTATAAACCTGAGGTAAAAAATCATGGTCTAATCACAAAAGATAGATAAAGGGTGGGAGAGAAAACAGAAAGTCAAAGTCATTTTCCCAAGGATAGCAATGGAGACAGGAAAAGAAGGCAGGTCTCCTGGGAATGCACCAGACTGCAGCCACCTGGGCTGAGCTGGCTGTGTGAGCACCCAGTTTTGTGGGCTGACCTTGGAGCAGAGCAGCAGCAGCTGCAGCCGCTGTTTTATTCCAGCGGCAGCTGTGCAGTCACCAAAGGGGCACAGTGAGCTCTGAGACCTCGCTGGCAGCTGGTCAGCACTGGGCTCTGGCTTCCACAGTGGAGGATGAAGGAGATGTTAGGGCTTGGACATAAGACTCACAGAGAAAGTATTATTAGAAGGGTCACTTAGTACAGGAAATGATGGTGCTAAATGGTTGTGGTTGTTGCCTTTGATAACAGCTTCTATTTGGCTCCTCATGAGGAATGAGCAACACTTCTCTGGAGGCAGGCAGGGAGCCTGTCAGCCATGTACAGCCTGCCCATGATACAGAACGCTGTGTTTACATTGGAACCAGCTTCTCCTGCCCCACACAAGGAGTGAAGTGAGTCACAAATGTTCAGCCAGGAGAGTGCCATAGATTATATCTTGCGGGCAAAGGTTTGCTCCAGAAGATTGTCTGCCTGCTGTTCACAGGAACAATGTGAGGCACTTAGGTGCAATAAAGCTGATATATTAACACCTGGTTTATGATCAACACTTGGATCTCTGCTTTGTTCAATCGACAGTCCTGTGTTTAACATGAGCCTGAAAAGGTCAGAGTCCACCAAGCCCTTCCTTCTGCTCGCCAGCGTTTAAAAAGCAACTGGTGGCTGTCAGGGAAGAAGAAAGGCGAGGTCACCAGAACTCATGGCCCGTCTGGTGGGACTGTGCCCTTGCTGGCACAGAGAAGCTGTTGGAGTAGAGGGGTTGGGGGACAGCTTTTGTTAGAGCTGCACTGTGCATTCTGATCCTTCCTCTGACTTGTATTCTGCACTTCCTTCAGCTCAAGAGCTGCTCTCCCCTCTGTGTGTATGTTTGGGTAGGCTGAGCTGTTGCTGGTACAATCCCTGCTGCCATTAGCATACACGTTCCTTTTTGTTTGTCATATGGACTTACATCTTTCAAAGCACTTTTGTGAGACTCCTATGCCACTGTGAAGATCTTTTGTTTTATGTAGAAATTCTATAAGATATTTTGATCCTCAGTAAGCAAGGCAGGAATCTTTTTCATCCTTCGGCATGAACCACAGGTTGCCCCCTGTGTTCCAAAGTAAAGAAGTGAGCAGGAGTTAAGTGAAGTGATTAAAGTATTTGAGATTTATGTTCGAGCACTCATGATAACACAGGGCAGAGAACTTCTGCACCAGCTCCTTATGTTGCTTGAAATGAAGCATGTTTTCTAGAGAACTAGATTTAAATACTTCAGGCTTGAAGATATTTTAACGTTTAATTACCCAAGAAAAGATGCCTATGGGAGATTAACAATATTCCCAAAGGATGATAATTCTGAATGCACAATAAGTTTCTGAGATTCAGCGGTTAGTTAATTCTTACCATGTGCTACTTTTATTCTGTGAGACTCCGAAATCACATGCCTACATATTCTGTTCCCTCCTTCTCAGGGGATTCCCACTGTTTAGACAAGCAGCTCATGCTCATTCAGGGAAAAAATGAATTCCACTGTCCCCAAAGAAATGAGCAAGGACAATTGCAAGAGCTTTCCTTGAGGAATTCTTCTGCTTCGGTTTTGCCTAGAGGGACATCCTGCAACATTTTAAGCTCCATGCAGTAGTTATTAGTGCATAAAATTACTGAAACTTAGACTTTTGCAGAGGAGAAGAAGGATAGAAATGAGAAAGGAGGGTTTTGGTATCATCAGCTGCAGAAAAAGTAGGAGATGGTAGCATCTACTAGAACTGAGAGTCTGTAATGAGAGCAGAAGTAAGGACGGATTTCATGTTCATTGATATATAGGGGAAAGAGGAGCTATGTGGAAAACAGTATTTTAAGCAAGACTAGTAGTTGAGAATAAAGACAAAAACAGTCTGAAGGAAATAAATAGTAATGGTACCACTGG